AACATGTGAAACCACATAACGAGTTTTAAATGATCAATATGCCAAAGATTGGTACAGATGCACAATAGAGAAATAGGCCTTCACCAACTGATTAACACTCTTAAAGGCAGAGAAGCATTTAGGGAAAACTACTGGGGTAAAGGGTCACACCCAACACTTGCAGACTGACTCCACATTATAGATTTTTAATTACCATACAAAGTGTGAGCTTACAGCGAAACAAATTATGAATGATGAAATGTATACACAAAAGAAAAAGGATCTCTCTACCTCTTTGGCAGGTGTGCAAAGGGGTCCTTTGCTTTAGGCTCTGCAGCCAAAACAGCATCACAGTCATCCATTTCCTCTTCGGGATCAGGCTTCTTCTCTTCCTTTTTCTCTTCTTTCTTCTTCTCTTTCTTCTCCTGGGGCTTGCCAGCCTCCTTTCCTCCCTTCTCTTTCTTGGAAGGAGTCTCTTTCTTGGGCTGCATCTCAGCAAATTTCTTGGCTGGAGGAACAAAACAATGAAAGTCATGTTCCGTCTTTGGTTTTGTATCTGTTGGAAAGGAGCCTGCCCTCAAATCATTTGCCCAACAACGGCTGATTTTAGCTGTGTTAGTATTGGCATGAATTTAATCAGATATGCAAACTTTTTTTTCTTAACTTCAAATAGCCTCGAATTGTGCAAATAACTCAAATGTTAGCAGTGAATGCAGCTTTTCCAACTATCATTTAAACAACAATGGTGTGGAGTTTTGCTTTTAAACATTTCAGACACTTAGGCTACGAGTTCATACTGTCTAACATGTATGCCTTCTGATCTAACTGCTGGTGACTCACCGTCAAACTGGGCCATCTTTTCACACAGCTTGACCTCTCCCAGGACAGCCTTGAACTGTGGCTGGTTGACACAGGTGACAAACCAGCGGGTCACATTGGGATAGGGCTGACGGAAAGAAGGGTCCAGGACCTACAGGGAACAGTAAGATGTTAAAGGCTTCTGGTGCAACTTCCTCCCCAAATTTCACTACAGAGATGAAGTGTTGCCGTTAGGCTCCAAGGTACCGCAAGGTGCAGCCGTCTGTGACAAACCTGTTTGTAGAGCCAGAGCATGGAGCAGGCCACGGTGATGTCTGCAAGGGTGACCCTCTCTCCCACAAGGAAGGTACGGGTGTTCAGGTGTTGGTTCAGCACAGCAAGGAACTTTTTCACATCCTCCTTGGCCTGCTCGGTGGCCTGGACAGTGGAAGAAAAAGAAAGAAAAATGACTGTAAATCTTATTTTCCAGTACCAAGGTGCAACAACAGGGTGCAGTCCTCTAGGAAGCCATTGTTTCAACTAAGAAACACTGAGCTGTATACCTGCTTGTTGAACTGCATGATTCCCAGAGTGGGAAAGACCCATGCGCTGGCAGGAGGGATGATCTCTGAGTCAGCGAAGCTCACCCACTGCAGCACTTGGGCTGCCGCCTGAGGAGTGGAACCGCGTAGGGTATCATTGCTCACTACGCACACAAGATTTTAAAAAGGAAAGTTGCTGTTATGGTTTCACAGTCGTTCTGATTTTTAAATTATAGTACAACTTCAGCATTTTAAGATTTTCTTAATTATCATACATTGTGCACATCAATGAAATGATACACTAGAGGTAAAACTGTATAGATATAACTAGTAATGCGGTCTGACCCATCTATATGATGATAAACCCTTGAGTCAAGAAATGTCCTGTGAATTTAAATGTTTTGCTGATTGAGTGCTGTATCCCATCACAAATTCTAGACCGAATTAACTGCACCCCTGAGGAATTTTCTAAAACAAGAGTGTAGAATTCAAGCTACTTAATTATTATTAAATGTGAGACTTACAGTAGTGAGCAATGGCATTACTCTCAAACAGACAGAAGCCGTCATCTCCCTGGTAGGCAGGTACCTACAAATGACAGAACTACTCATTTGAACACATTCAATGTGTTTTTAGTCAGAGAACAAAGCGGTGCATGTGCAGATCTGTTGGCTACGAAACATAAAAGGGTGTGTTGTCAAACTGGTTAAATCCCAGCTCATAAGTTGCATTTGACAAATAACGAGTCAACCGTATTCGTGTGGGAAGGAAAAAAAAGAGAGGCTCTAAAAGCAAAGCAAAAATGCATATTTAAGGAAATTGATTCATTGAATTGATTAAGCCAGCTGTACTTACCTTGCCCAGAGGGAAGTTGTTGAGGAAGGCAGGAGTACGGTTCGTCTGCCCGAAGGTGAAGGCAGGGGCACTCGTGGCAACTTTGAGGCGAGCACCACTATACTGGGCTGCAATCTGGGCCTTAAAGGCCCGCCAGTTCTCTGGGTACGTGTACAGAGTCTGAAAGGACGGAAGACAACTGTTTTTAAAAGCAAACTGCATATATATGCACCACACCTTTTCAAGCTGGATGTCTAACCATTTGATTGGCCTATGAATGACTTTCAGGAAATAGCCTGGTGTTTTACTAATGTATATACTGAGTCCTGAACAGGCTTCTGTCGGTTTTCCAATTCTACTTAAGGCATGTAAACTTGGATAAAATTGGTAAGCAAGCTATCCAACCCGTTAAGAGGCAGCATTTAATTTGTTTTATGGTCACAAATAAAAGGATCCCATCCAAATTAAAAGGGTGGACCAATTAAAATCTGGCTGATTAGGCTATGGAGAATGATGAAGCTGAAATACATCAAAACTGAAATACATGCTGACTTGCACAGAAGACTGCATTTCTGTTAACCAGTTATCTAAAATAAATAAATTATTTTCACGTGGCTTAAAACGCTCTCTTGACAAATAAGCTGTTCCTTAACACCGAGTCGCTTAACTTCGGAGAATAAATTTAAATATACGGCAGAATTGAGACTAAATAAACTGAACTGTAGCGATACCCTCAGGTAAAAAAAAAAAAGCGTATGATGTGAGGAGGAGGTTTTCAAAGTGATGAATAGGTAAGGTAACGTGGCACAACCCTGAGCTAAGAGAGCGTAGTCTTCCACTTACAATGCATCGTTAGCAACAGCTAACCTGTGTTAGGAGGAATACTGAATGGTATCGTTTACAAATATCCCCTATAAAAGCTAGAAAACACTCAGAAAGCAATGTCTGTGTGAAAAGCTACTCAGTAAGAGGGCAGATGCATCTGATTTTTAGCGGATTGCAGCAGGAAACTTAAAAGTAAGCACTATAGCTGGCCATCTCTCCATCTTACTCACCCCTGCCGCCATCTTCAGGACGAGAGAAAGAAAGAACGACGGCGCGCTTCACTGACGTATTTACGGCCACATGACGTGCGCGTTCTTGAAATATCCGCGTTCACAATTCTTCTGAACGGCATGGATAAAGCTGCCTGGTCACATTTCAAAACATCCGAACATGACTTAAAAACTTAGTACCTTCACAAATAGCATTTGTAGCTAACACAGGAAGATAAACATACACTGACACAAGGATGTAAGAACAAATTAAATATTTTATTACAGCACACGCAAAAGCAAAAAATATGTAGGAATGATGAGCATTCAAAATAACAAACACTACTAATATGGATACTTCTATTCGTTAGCAATTTTTAAGTAAATTTGTTAACACTCTTACAACATTTCCATTAAAAAAAATGTAGGCTGTACAGCATAATAACATGATGTGCCTATAGGGCTTGGCCCCCATCTCTATACCAGAACAGTAGAAAAATAGTAATTTGTCTGTCTTAATAGTAATTAAGACAGACAAACTGAGATACAA